CAACAAGAGTTCCAACCACGGCAACAACTGTTACAACCGTAGTGCCAACCACGGCAACAACTCCTACAACAAGAGTTCCAACCACGGCAACAACTCCTACAACAAGAGTTCCAACCACGGCAACAACTCCTACAACAAGAGTTCCAACCACGGCAACAACTGTTACAACGGGAGTTCCAACCACGGCAACAACTGGAGTTCCAACCACGGCCACAACTGTTACAACAGGAGTTCCAACCACGGCAACAACTGTTACAACAGGAGTTCCAACCACGGCAACAACTCCTACAACAATAGTTCCAACCACGGCAACAACTCCTACAACAAGAGTTCCAACCACGGCAACAACTGTTACAACCGTAGTGCCAACCACAGCAACAACTCCTACAACACGAGTTCCAACCACGGCAACAACTGTTACAACGGGAGTTCCAACCACGGCAACAACTGTTACAACGGGAGTTCCAACCACGGCAACAACTGTTACAACGGGAGTTCCAACCACGGCAACAACTCCTACAACAAGAATTCCAACCACGGCAACAACTCCTACAACAAGAGTTCCAACCACGGCAACAACTGTTACAACGGGAGTTCCAACCACGGCAACAACTCCTACAACGGGAGTTCCAACCACGGCAACAACTGTCGCAACGGGAGTTCCAACGACGGCAACAACTCCTACAACAAGAATTCCAACCACGGCAACAACTGTTACCACCGGAGTTCCAACCACGGCAACAACTGTCACCACCGGAGTGCCAACCACGGCAACAACTGTTACAACGGTAGTGCCAACCACGGCAACAAGTCCTACAACAAGAGTTCCAACCACGGCAACAAGTCCTACAACAAGAGTTCCAACCACGGCAACAACTGTTACAACGGGAGTTCCAACCACGGCAACAACTGTTACAACGGGAGTTCCAACCACGGCAACAACTGTTACAACGGGAGTTCCAACCACGGCCACAACTGTTACAATAGGAGTTATAACCACGGCAACAACTCCTACAACAATAGTTCCAACGACGGCAACAACTCCTACAACAAGAGTTGCAACGACGGCAACAACTGTTACAACCGTAGTGCCAACCACAGCAACAACTCCTACAACACGAGTTCCAACGACGGCAACAACTCCTACAACAAGAGTTCCAACCACGGCAACAACTCCTACAACAAGAGTTCCAACGACGGCAACAACTGTTACAACGGGAGTTCCAACCACGGAAACAACTCCTACAACAAGAGTTCCAACCACAGCAACAACTCCTACACCACGAGTTCCAACCACGGCAACAACTCCTACAACAAGAGTTCCAACGACGGCAACAACTGTTACAAGGGGAGTTCCAACCACGGCAACAACTGTTACAACGGGAGTTCCAACCACGGCAACAACTCCTACAACAAGAGTTCCAACCACGGCAACAACTGTTACAACCGTAGTGCCAACCACAGCAACAACTCCTACAACAAGAGTTCCAACCACGGCAACAACTCCTACAACAAGAGTTCCAGCGACGGCAACAACTGTTACAACGGGAGTTCCAACCACGGCAACAACTCCTACAACAAGAGTTCCAACCACGGCAACAACTGTTACAACGGGAGTTCTAACCACGGCAACAACTCCTACAACAATAGTTCCAACCACGGCAACAGCTCCTACAACAAGAGTTCCAAGCACGGCAACAACTGTTACAACCGTAGTGCCAACCACAGCAACAACTCCTACAACACGAGTTCCAACGACGGCAACAACTCCTACAACAAGAGTTCCAACCACGGCAACAACTCCTACAACAAGAGTTCCAACGACGGCAACAACTGTTACAACCGTAGTGCCAACCACAGCAACAACCCCTACAACACGAGTTCCAACCACGGCAACAACTCCTACAACAAGAATTCCAACCACGGCAACAACTCCTACAACAAGAGTTCCAACTACGGCAACAACTGTTACAACGGGAGTTCCAACCACGGCCACAACTCCTACAACAAGAGTTCCAACCACGGCAACAACTCCTACAACAAGAGTTCCAACCACGGCAACCACTCCTACAACAAGAGTTCCAACCACGGCAACCACTCCTACAACAAGAGTTCCAACCACGGCAACCACTCCTACAACAAGAGTTCCAACCACGGCAAGAACTCCTACAACAGGAGTTCCAACTACGGCAACAACTCCTACAACAGGAGTTCCAACCACGGCAACAACTCCTACAACGGGAGTTCCAACCACGGCAACAACTGTTACAACCGTAGTGCCAACCACGGCAACAACTCCTACGACACGAGTTCCAACCACGGCAACAACTGTTACAACGGGAGTTCCAACCACGGCAACAGCTCCTACAACAAGAGTTCCAACCACGGCAACAACTGTTACCACCGGAGTTCCAACCACGGCAACAACTCCTACAATGGGAGTTCCAACCATGTCAACAACTCCTACATCAAGAATTCCAACCACGGCAAAAACAGTTACAACGGGAGTTCCAACCACAGCAACAACTGTTACAACGGGAGTTCCAACCACAGCAAGAACTGTTACAATGGGAGTTCCAACCACAGCAACAACTGTTACAACCGTAGTGGCAACCACGGCAACAACTTCTACAACACCAGTGTCAACGAAGGGAACAACTGCTCCAACAAGAGTGCCAACGAAAGCATCAACTGCTGCAACGCCAGGGCCGACAACTGCCGCCACTGGAGTGCCAACAAAAGGAACAACTTCTGCGACCGGAGTACCAACGAAACCAACTAGTGGTGCAACTGGAGCGCCAACACAAGCAACAAGCACCAGGACCGGGGTGACAACCAAAGGAACAACTGCTGGTGCAGGAATAGTAACAAAAGGTACATCTGCCGCACCTGGGGCTGCTACAGCAACCGAAGTGGAGACGAAAGCATCGACCGCTAGGACCAAAGGAACAACTGCTGCCACTGGTGTTCCAACAAAAGCTGCAACTGGAGTGACGACCAAAGTAAGAACTCCTGCAACAGGAGTCGTTACGGTAGTGACCTCTGCTGGTGCACCTGTAGGCGTCATAACTATTGCTGCAACTGAAGTGACAAGCAAAGCAAGAACTGCTGGCACTGGAATGACAACGAAAGGAACAACTGCTGCCACGGGAATGACAACCAAAGCAGCAACTTCTCCAACAGGAGTGACAACTAAAAGAACAACTGCTGTATTATCAAGGGGGACAACCGTAGTAACCAGCGTTGAAACAAAGGCTACTGGTTTTGGGCCGGGTGTGATGACGGTTTTGATATCAGCTGTGCCAGGTGTCGCCACACCAGGAGGTGCTCCTGGTGTTAGGCCAACTGGTGTGGTGAGTGAGGTAACAAGCAAGATATCAACTGCTGTATCTGGAGTGAAAACCAAAGCAACAACTGCTGCACCTGGAATCGTGACAAAAGTAACATCTGCTGCACCTGGGGTTGCTACAGCTGCTTCAGCGACCGAAGTGAAGACGAAAGCAACAACCGCTAGGACTGGAGTGACAACCAAAGGAACAGCTGCTGCTCCAGGAATTGTGACAAAAGTAACATCTGCTGCACCTGGGGTTGCTACAGCTGCTCCAGCGACCGAAGTGGAGACGAAAGCAACAACGGTTAGGACTGGAGTGACAACCAAAGGAACAGGTGCTGCTCCAGGAATTGTGACAAAAGTAACATCTGCTGCACCTGGGGTTGCTACAGCTGCTCCAACGGCCGAAGTGAAGACAAAAGCAACAACGGTTAGGACTGGAGTGACAACCAAAGGAACAGCTGCTGCTCCAGGAATTGTGACAAAAGTAACATCTGCTGCACCTGGGGTTGCTACAGCTGCTCCAGCGACCGAAGTGAAGACGAAAGCAACAACGGCTAGGACTGGAGTGACAACCAAAGGAACAGGTGCTGCTCCAGGAATTGTGACAAAAGTAACATCTGCTGCACCTGGGGTTGCTACAGCTGCTCCAACGGCCGAAGTGAAGACAAAAGCAACAACGGTTAGGACTGGAGTGACAACCAAAGGAACAGCTGCTGCTCCAGGAATTGTGACAAAAGTAACATCTGCTGCACCTGGGGTTGCTACAGCTGCTCCAGCGACCGAAGTGGAGACGAAAGCAACAACGGTTAGGACTGGAGTGACAACCAAAGGAACAGGTGCTGCTCCAGGAATTGTGACAAAAGTAACATCTGCTGCACCTGGGGTTGCTACAGCTGCTCCAACGGCCGAAGTGAAGACAAAAGCAACAACGGTTAGGACTGGAGTGACAACCAAAGGAACAGCTGCTGCTCCAGGAATTGTGACAAAAGTAACATCTGCTGCACCTGGGGTTGCTCCAGCTGCTCCAGCGACCGAAGTGAAGACGAAAGCAACAACCGCTATGACTGGAGTGACAACCAAAGGAACAGGTGCTGCTCCAGGAATTGTGACAAAAGTAACATCTGCTGCACCTGGGATTGCTACAGCTGCTTCAGCGACCGAAGTGAAGACGAAAGCAACCAAACGCTATGACTGGAGTGACAACCAAAGGAACAGGTGCTGCTCCAGGAATTGTGACAAAAGTAACATCTGCTGCAGCTGCAACTCGAATGACCACCAAAACGATAACTGTAGCACCATCGTTCGTGACGCCCACACATTGCCCAAGCGGGATGGTATGTATCATGAGTTATAAAATTGCCCTTTCCCTGAAGTGTTTACTAGTTCTTTTAGGGAATGGGATTTGGACGAGAAGACTCGTACAAAACGGGAAAGTGCGTTAAAATGTGGCTATAGGGTTTTCAAGGTTTGAGCTATCAGTGGATTGTATTTTTCCACAACAGTTAGGACTATGAAAGTGAGTATAGGTATATTAGCACGGTAAAAGGGCTAGGTTAGGAGTTATGTTTCTGACATAAACGACCTACAAGCAACTACCTCGTACCCGGTTGTATTATAGCCAGATTGTGCGATCAACTGTATAGTGTTTCTTCAAGCTTCACTAAATTGGCTGTTAATTGACTGGTAGGATGCAAATTTATCTTTCATTAACGTAAAAAAATTAAAATGTCCTTGTATTAATTGTGGGAGCGATATTCGACGTTTTATAACCTTTTGAGCATTTTTACAATAGTTGAAAAAATCAATATGCGGTGGATAGGGCTATCTGTCCTTTGTACACGACCGTGCATATACAGCTTTACGAAAATAAAGCCTGAAAGATGGCGCAGCATGCTTACCAATGTTCAAAGTAGCAGTAATCTTGTTCTGTAGCTTGTGTCACGACCTATCCCATATGCCATGTGAATGGTTATGTAGTGTATAATAAATTCAACTGCAATTAAGATACTTCATTTTCTGACCATCTAATTATTGATCATCTGATAATATATTTATATATTACGTATACGTTTTATTTCAGGTGTTTACCAACTGTGTCCCATCTTGTGAACCATCTTGTCAATATCGAAATGCTAGCTGTACCACTGCCAATAATGTATGTAAGTCGGGATGTACGTGTGCAGAGGGTTTGGTTTATAACGGTACTCACTGCGTTGAACCTTCGGACTGTCCGTGTTACTACAAGAATATTTTCTATAAAGCTGGTACGACCTGGCATCATAACTGCAGTGAGTGTATCTGCTGGGAAAACAAGGCGATGTGTACTCCACAAGTCTGTCCTTCTGTATCTTTTTGTCCTTCACCAGAGTACGAGGTTAGCAGGAAAAATTGCTGTAATGTATGCACCCCGGTTTCTGTTCCTCCGACATTTGTACCTACAACTTCAGCACCATGTAAAGATGACGAATTTTACTGTCCCTCTGATAAATCCTGTATCTCAAAGACCTGGTTATGTGATGGTTCACAGGACTGTTCAATAGGGGAAGATGAGAAAAACTGTAGGAATGTGACGCCTTGTAACACAACCATAGGTAAGTTCGACTGTAAAGAAACACATTTCAAAAGTGTTATTTTCAGTACTGTAGGTTTGATTTATCGTTCACATGGGACGGAAACTGTGCGAACTAGGGCACAGCTAAGGTTCCGTACGAATTCCCGTCTAAACCAATCTTGCTCATTCGGTCTAGTTCATTCGGTCTCACGCAAAAGTGATCTAATTTCTAAATTAAACAGTTGCCGTATGATCCACTTAGTTCCTAAATACATTTTTACAAAACATGGGATGAAGCGCGTTTTTGTATATTGTATTTAAGGTTACCCACACTACTTTTCCCGTTTGAGATGTGGTATTATATTTTAAAATAGCAGCATTCTGTTAATAAAGTATGTGACTAATAACAGATATTAGAGCGTACATATTAGTAACCGAAGTACAGATATTCTGGTTAATGTCAAAAACATTTCCCTCGATATACTATTGACTGTTTCACCGCAGGAGAGGTACAAGGTTATCCCAATGCTAGTTGGAGTAGGAATGTATCAAAGAGTGGAGAGGTACTATATTGTCTACAGAGATACAATAATAGTTTGATGTTCGAAGTCGATCTTGGTTTTCTCTCGAAAGTAACAATGATTGGATTTGAAGTTAAGATGATTGCTTCAATTTATCAAAATTTTGAAGTGAAGTACAGTACAGATGGTGTTATATGGAGTACCTACAACCAGGGATGGAATCTCACGGTAAGATATGTATTTCACTAGTCAACTCTCTCGATAAAAAAAGTACGAGAAGAACTTGAAACGAAATGCTACTTCAGTATAAGTAAATTTTTGCTATGGGTCAATATGAAAACATGAATTAATTGTTTTCATTGTATTTAAATCTTTCGGGGTTCTGTTGGCAATCTTTCACATTTCAAATTGAAAATTCCATTCAACGCGTATTATGTCAGAATCGTACCAGAACATTGGAATATGTCTCTTTGCTCACGATATGTCGTATTCGGTTGCGGGAACATCACTGCTACCTTGGCTCCGACGACTATTCCGTGCTCTGGCTTCACCTGTAATAATAGTCTCTGTATCAACTCGAAATGGCGATGTGACGGAAGCGATGATTGCGGAGATAACACAGATGAAATAGAATGTCCACCAGTCACGTGCTCTGACAACCAGTTTACGTGCAACAACAGTAAATGCATTGGCATTGATCACGTGTGTGATGGAGATGATGATTGTGGTGACAAGTCCGATGAGAGCCCTGGATGTATTAAACCAACATGTGCATCTACCCAGTTCATGTGTAACACGAGTCAATGCATACTACTCAGGTAAACTGTAGTTTGCACTATATATAATTTACAAGGAAGGATTACAAAGCGCGTTCAAAAACGAGGCGGAAGCCGAGTGTTTTCGAGGCGTTTTGACATTAACGTCCCAAACGAATAAGTATAAGAGAAGTTCAACACAAAAGTTTCGTGTTTAGTATCAACCATGCTGTGCTGATTTCGTTTCCTTGTGAACCACCAATAAGTTGGAGAAGTACACATAAACAATATTGGTTTGCTAACACGAGTTGCTTCAGGATTTTAGTAACATTGTAAATAAATTGTGTTCATGTTCTTAAGTCGTAATAGTGCATTTATCGTCACTGCTGCTTAAATAGATGGAGGAACATAGGGCTGGGGCTACTTCCCCCAATTTTTTAATCGGGCAGATTCTACTTCAAAGTTGGACACCCCCTCAGGTCGACAGAATAGTGGGAACAATATTTGGAGGAAAATGTTTGTAGTTGTCGGGTGACTTCATGTGCGTTGGGAAAATTTGTATCCGCCCCTGGAAATGTTTACCTCCCGTATGCCTATGGTTAGGAGATTTTGGAATGATGTCTGACATGTCGGTTTGGCATTACGTTTGTCTCCTTTATAGCATAGGTGTGCATAGCCCCCGTTCAATAAAAGACTTGACTTTTCACCCGCGACATCTTAATCAATACACAGATCTCACTATCTTGTACAGTAGCTATATGCCGTCCATGGACACGATTTTAAACATTGATTGGGAATGATTTGTGTTGTTATAGATTCCTTTGTGATGGTGATATAGATTGCCCTGGAGGTGAAGATGAAGATCGCGACAACTGTCCAACGACAACTGGACCACCAGCTTGCGAGTTCCTGTGTTCAGACGGCACGTGTATTTCAAGGACAAGAATCTGTGATTACTTCAAGGACTGTAATAACAGCATGGATGAAACTAACTGTACTTGTACTAACACGACACAATGGCGTTGCCCGAGAACTAAGAAATGTATTTCCATCACTTATATCTGCGATGGAACAGAAGAATGTCCACAAGGAGAAGATGAAGAGAACTGTCCTACGATATTACCAACAACCATTGCTTCAACCGTACCTAGTATTTCAAGCACAGGACAACCAGTTATACATTTCACCACCACCCCGGCTGTCATCATTCCGCCACTCTGTGTTCGAGGAAACAACTCGTACAAAGTAAGAACCAAACAGTGATAGTGCTCTCTTTTAAAAATGCAAGATAATAACTCACAGTAAAATGAGCCCAGTTGGATGTACAATAATTCAACATCCTCGAAAATCAAAGGATTTGACCGCTTTTCCCAGAAATCTCCATGATTAATAAAACATTTGAGAACGTTGCGCATCGAAGCAATGTTTGCTGAGAAAATATGTTCCTTGGTAAAATGAACCTACTTCTGGAAAACAGTTTTAATAAAAACCTTTGTTGCCTTTCCTGGAATGTAGTTTAACAATAAGTAGTACTCACGATTTCTGAATTGTTATAGGTTGGTGATACTTGGACGGAAAATGAATGTGACAAATGTCGTTGTCTTGATGATGGTTCAACCAACTGTACGAAGTTCTGTTCAATTATTTCTTGTCCAACGGTACGTGTCTGCACACAACATACGTTCTTGTATTCAAACAATTCATTCAATGGTTCTCTAAATTTCGGCTATCGCGTCAAAACCACTTGTAGAATTGTTCAATAATACGTACACAACACATTCGTCTAAGATTTATGATAATTACTATTAGGGTAATGTTGAACTTCCCACTGCGCAAGTTTCATTAGTATGGCTCTGCCAATAACTACATATGTACTTACACCAATGCCGGTATGCAATAATCCAATCCCTGTATGGGTCATAATGGCTGATGGCTTTTGTAGTCAACTGTTCCACTTGGGTGTAACATCGCTTCCCTGCAAGTTTATTGTGCCAGGTCAAACCTTGACACTCGTTTGCTATTCGCGCCAGAGAAAAAAACATTGCTTGCAATTGCACTATACAACTTATAATTAACTTTCCTGGTTGACTATTATTTAACTTATGAAATTATCCCTGCACGACTATTAATATTCCCTAATCATGTACATACCATGTTACTTACCAGGGTGAAGTGCTTGCAACGTCGTCAAGTGAATGTTGCAACTGTCTTCCTGTTACTACAACCAAGCCAGTTACAACAGCTGGCGTCACTACAAAATTAACAAAAGGTTAGTAAATGTTCCACGATCAAACTCTTCACCCTAAAAGGACGAAGAAGCATCTAATATCTGACATTTCAAAGTACACTAAACAGATAAACGTCTAACACTGCAAAGTACACTAAACATCTAACACTGCAAACTGTGAAAAGTACACTGAACGTTTTGATGGAATTATCTGTGTATTGATGGAGATGAAACAACGTCCCATCACGCCAAACATGTTGCGTCAACGCTTGGAAATAATATTACCAAAGATATGTTGTGGCGCAATTCAACATTTCCGAGACAAATTGGACCGGTTAGAAGCATACATGTATAGCATATATATCCTTGCACTTTATACTGGAATTTGATTATCTCTTCTCTTACAGTTACAACAGTACCAACGACTCCAACAAAAATCCCAACACCGCTTGTTACAACAACAGGTAAAGCTGACCTATTAATCGACGAGTAACGCTTATATATAGGTATCCGTTTGACGAATCCCATATAGAAATTGCTGGATACTTGATTAGGAAAGAAGCATGGCTTCAAACGATCGCAAGTTAGAGACTCCTAACATGTAACTAAACCCATTTTCGCAGTATTAACATAAACGTTTCTACGACTACAAATGACTGCTTTGACTGTTACGTCGATTAAAATTACTACAGTCACGTACATTTTTTATTGCAGCTCCTGTTCTTGGTTGCACCAACGTGACGTGCTCTTGTCCACAAACGTGCGCGGATATAGCTCGTGGTTCTGATAACTGCAGTACATCTGAATGTAAACCTGGTTGTCAATGTCCACCTGGCGCTGTCTTAGAAAATGATCTTTGTCTGAATGCAACTACTTGTCCATGTTACCATGAGGGTGAAGTATACGAGGTGAGCGCTACTGCTACCTAACTGTTACTGATATTCACTGAAGGGCTTGAATCCGGGGGTTCTCCATTAATTTATTGTACGATCATCCAGATAAATTTTTTTTCTGTACAATTAGTCCGCGATATATATGCCAGGCGCATACGCTGGACTAATTGCGCATGAACGCAGGCTCGCATGCCTTGAACGCATGCGCGAGCAAACAACCTCACGACCACGCGCACGTCATTTTGACGCAAGATAAATGACGTCTTTGATAAATGACGTCTTTGATAATGGCTGCCGTATAGGTAGCAATCTCGTTCCCCGAACATGCCCGTTCGCAGGTTAAGGGTGGGCATAGCTCTGGAGAAATCGAATTGATTCAGGCCTGTGATTGGCTAACGGCAGATAGTACGTTGGATTTCCAACGTGAGTTCTACGCATGCTTGGCAATTGTTGCAAAATATAAACAAAGTTTTGGAATTTCTCGTCGAAAATTTGCTACTTTTTTACACTGAAATCGATTGAAAACAGCTAGAAATTCTGGAGGGAATATGTGCGAAAGCTTCGGATTGATAGGGATACAACTACCTGAAAAATACAAGGAGAACTTCGACGTTTCGAGCGAAGGCGCTTCGACTTGTGCTGTTAATGTTTGTATATATAGTACTTGACCTTTTATACTGTCGTACTTACCACTACGTACTTAACACTACGTATACCATAAATTCTGACAGGAGAGTTAAATGTAAATTTTAAAGCATAAAAATATATAATACTCATTCTTGAGGAGATTTATCAGTAAAGGTGTACAAGCTAGTGATAAGTACAAGTAAGTACATCAGTACAAGCTAGTGATAAGTCGAAGCGCCTTTCCTCGAAACGTCGAAGTTCTCCTTGTATTTTTCAGGTAGTTGTATACCTATCAATCCGAAGCTTTCGTACATATTCCCTCCAGAATTTCTAGCTGTTTTCAATCGATTTCAGTGTAAAAAAGTAGCAAATTTTCGACGAGAAATTCTAAATACTTTATTTATATTTTGCAACAATTGCTTAGCATGCGTAGAACTCGCGTTGGAAATTCAACGTGAATCAATTCGATTTCTCCAGAGCTATGCCCACCCTTAACCTGCGAACGGGCATGCTCGGGGAACGAGATTGTATAGGTAGTCGAAACGTCAGAAACAACTAAAAAAAATTAATGTTACTGATCTGTTGCGCATTATTGATTTTTGCCTGGTTTCCATTTGATGGCGAAGTCATGGAAATAGTGTGGACCTATCTTGACATGCAGTGTCCCAAATCAAGAAACGACCCTGGGAGTAGGCAGACTAAACTGGGAGTGTATTTACCGTACAACAGAATCTTGCAACTTACACCACTCTTGCGGATTGAAGCAAAATGCGCAATACCACGCCCTTTCAAAACATTCTATGCTTCCATTTTGATTGCGCATGAACTAAAACCTTCCGAAGTTTCCGAAAGAGTTACAGTTCTACGTTCCACCCGTACGGTTGTTGTTTTATGTTATGTAAGACATCTGTTGAGTTACTGTTTTTACATTTTAGTTTGGAGAGTATTACAACAAAGACGTCTGTATTGTCTGCATGTGTGTGAGTGATGGATTTTCCTGCCAAAAGAAATGCAACAAGACCTGCTTAGCCGTAAGGACTGTCCTAATTCATAACTATTAACGATGCATGTATATGTATGAAATGTGTATGTTGTTAACTGGTTAAATGCTTGATTTCAGTATGAAGAACTTGTAACGCTACCTGACCAGTGCTGCTATTGTAGACAGAGTAAGTGTCCGGTAGAGTTCGTAAACGTGTAGCAATAGTTGAAACTGGAACTCGTGTTTTATGTACTTTATTACAATGTTTTACGATCTACATTTTACGATATTCTCTGTTGCAGAATGTCGTTTCGACATGATCTACAAACAATGCAGCTGTCCCATTACCTGTGAAAATACAACGTGTGATTCTACCCATTGTAAACCTGGCTGTGAATGTCCAATTGGAAAATATGATGATGGCACCGCATGTGTTGCAAGAAAGGATTGCTACTGCATTGTCGATGGACAACAGGTTGAGGTACGGTTATAAGGATCAAATTCAGGGAATGAAATAAACGACTGGTCAATAATTGCAGTCCACAACAATACTAGAGGACGAGTATGTACATGTACATGTACATGTACAATAAAGAAAATAGTAAAGCAGTACGCTATTTCTTTCAAAGTCCTAATCTATTGCATGAGTATTGAGGTTCAATACTCGTAATTTTGTAGATATTGTGAAGGTTGCATGTACAGTACAATATAAACTAGGATAATTTTGTTCTTAACATGTCATTTTGGTCGCAAAAATCTCTCTTCATATGCTATACATGAACTTTTCCAGAGTGGTGAAAGCTGGACTAAGGGAGAATGTGCTAGATGTTTTTGTACTGATGGCGAAGAACTGTGTAACAAAACTTGTAACATTACATCGTGTCCTACGGTTAGTTACTTTCATTATAATCTCTTGTTATGGTGTTCCTTCACTGGTCATGCCTCTTTATTACCCGTTCAGAGCAATCTAAGTGATGAAAGTTGTTTTCTCTTTTGCAGGCTTATCAACTAGTCCACCCTCTTGATGGCTGTTGTACTTGTATTAAATTACGTAAGTGAACTTCGGAATCACTGTATTACCTGGGTTAAACGCAATAAATCTAGAATTTCTCCCGTTTTTCCACAGCCTCTACCATACCAACAACGGCAGTAGCTACACAAGCTCCTGGATGTTATGACAATGGCACGCTAAAGAAGGTATCATACAGTATATACATTTCTTCAACGTATGTATGTATATATGTATGTATGTATATGTATGTATATGTATGTATGTATGTGTGTATATGTATGTGTGCGTGTGTGTGTGTTTTATATATATGTGTATATATATATATATGTGTATATTATATATGTATATATGTATATATTATATATATGTATATATTACATATATATACATATATATACACATATACAGTTTCTTTGTCGCTGAAAAACTGACAACAGAAATAGGAAGTTGTGTTGCTAACTCGTGCAGTGTTTGCTTACTTTCCAACCAGTCATGATATTGACCTTTCTCTTCTACAAGTTGAGATCAAAGCTGACTACTGTCAGCGGACAAAACAGGGCTTACCGCAATGATAATCACTGATTTATTTTAATGCTTATTATTAATTGTCAAGGTCGGTCAAACCTGGTCCAATGATCTCTGTGAAAATTGCACTTGTGAAGAAAACAACCAAGTCAAATGTGTTTCGACAACTTGCCCAAATGTATGCCCACAGGTAAGGTCGACTTGATGACATCGATACTGCTCTACGTTTAGTTTATTAACCCTTAACATGCTGAACGTAAATGTGTTGGGTTTGCACAACCAAGTTAACAGTTATTATATAGACGTTTCGTATCTTACTGCATGTTTAATCCTCCATTCAATTATAATTGTTTGTTTTTCAGGGATGCAAAGTCCAACAGACTCCAGGGAAATGTTGCAACGAATGTGGTGAGTTAACGGAGTTTATGTGTTGATATGGTGCTCAATCAACACCTAAGAATTGAGATAGTTGTTTCGGCATAGCCACTAGTGGACCGACTCTCTTTCCCTTCATATTCGAACTGTTAAAAATCGCTTTGCTGTTTCTGATTTCCTGTTACTTGTACATTACTTGTCTAATATTCTTTAATACAAACACTGAAACCACTATTCTACACGAATATAGCTAGTGTTTCCGAGCATACGAATTAAAATATTTTTCTTGCAGTACCACTTTCCTACATTCCAACTTGCAAAGACAATGGAATAACTTACAAAGTACGTATTTACAAAGAACTACTTGGGAATTCCAATGGAAATGTACCAGATTATTGATGTTCATTATTTTCTTAACTTATTAGGCTGGAGAAACATGGAAACCCGAGCCTTGCCAGAATTGTTCATGTTCCTCAGACGGAAAAGTAACGTGTCGTATTGAACAGTGTCTACAAACCTGTCCTGTGGTAAGTACTATATATATTGATAGCGATAGCCAATACTAATAATTAATTAAGAAAGCAATAAATGTGCAGTAATTTCTTAATTCTCACATGTCAATTCCACAACTTTGTGTTAGGGTTTTGAACGTCGCCATTTGCCTGGTCAATGTTGTCCCAAGTGTGGTAAGTTCGTACATTATGTTGAAATTAAGGCATTTATGCAAAATCAAACACTTTATATAGTAGAAACCCTTGTGCATGCATGCCCATAGGACATGTTGACTAATCTGACGCATAACCAGTTCTAATCCGTTTTCACCGCAACATTCTAATTTATGAGAATACGCAAAAACGCCAGGCCAGTTTGTTATCTGCTTCAATCAATACATAACCTGAGTATCAGGCTCTATTTTACAAATAGAGCCTGATACAAAACTTAACCTGATCGCTTTCCGCCCACAGCAAAGTTTATATTTAGTATCCAATCAAAATGTCGCAGGAGAAATTTAAATTTCACACAACGACAACAACAATCTAATTATAGCATAGACAGCCCACTAAACGGCTGAATTTAAATTAAACTGCAATGAACTTATAAAATTAACAAAAATAATCACAAATTAGCGAAATATATTGCAAATGTAGCTTATATTAAATCGCCACCCGATTGCTCTCTCCTCCGCAGAGGTTTCAGTGACTACAATGAGCTTTACATGGCGCTTGCCGTATTTATCAACAAACAGTGACGTATAATTATAAAGTATATATATATATTAAGTATACTTTATAACTATACGTCAGTCGATAGCGCAATCTGATTGCGATTTAATATAAGCTACATTTGCAATATATATCGCTAATTTGCGATTATTTTCTAATTTTACTGCAGTTTTAATTTAAATTCAGCCGTTTAGTGGGCCGGCTATAATTGTAGTTGTGATCGTTATAAAATATATCAACAACAATAGTATAATCTAATTAGCACCAGCCAATCAAATGACAGATTTAAAAATCGTTTGTCTAATCGGCCAATCAGCGCCCAGTCCAGATTCTGGACTGAACAACCAGGCAAAATGCCACTTTTGTGTCAGGCCGTACTTTTCTCCCCTTCGCCCACGATCAGGCGTGCCTGTGCCCTAAAAAGTACGGCCTGATACTCAGGTTAATCAATACACGCAGGTCTTGTACGGACGTTGACTACTCCGTCCACATCACATGCACAGTCCTGACTTTACGCAACAGCAGATGGCGTGCAATTGCATGGAAAACAAAACTCCGTATTCGCATACAATTGGTGAATGCTGGTCAGGACTGGTGTTTGGTAATATTGTTCTCAACCTTCACCTTGCTAATTTAAAATTGTTTTTGCTACCTTGATAAATCTTGAACATTAACCTTTCTTTTCATTTCATTTCTTAGTTCCAGTGTCGCTGTGTACCACGATCAGGATGACTACAGTAATCACAGACCTCGACGGTTGTACGAGTAAAAATGCCACAGCATCGTTCTGTAACGGACCATGTCACTCCAACGGAACTGTCTCTATTATTGGTAATATGACCATCACCTCGACATGTTACTGCTGTAAACCTACAGCCTTGGCACAAAGTTCAACAACTATGATATGTCCTGGTGGATCAAGTTATGTTCATTACTATCCCGTCATTCAGCAATGTTCGTGTACCAAATGCCGTGCTGACGCAACTAATGAACTGAATCAATTACTCATTTCAATTACTCAAGAAAACCAAGGGTGAAACGTATATATATATTGGTTAAATAACTGAAAACTAGAATATAAAAATTTAATAGACTAATTTTATTTAGAAATAGGAACATATATATATTAGTAAATATTACATTATTTAGATAGTTTGTATTATATTAATTTTGTATAATATGTACTGCGCACTGTGTTACATAGTTCTGTATGTTTATTAATTATCTGCAAATTATGCTAATATATGTTAATACTTAATAGATAAAATGGATAGTGACTAGTACACATCCCTATACCAAGAATACATAGGTATAAAAATATTTAAATAGAATATAGTTATCAGTTACGTTATAGAACTATTTATATTTAACTAAAAATAATTATTTAAGATTTACAGTATGTAAGAAGTCATTAGAATTGTATGCTGGCGTACAATTAACTATGTAAAAATTGACAATAAATATCACTATTAATACTACTTTCATCAATTACTTGATTTCTGCATAAAATTAACTAGCAACTGTTCTACTGTAACAAATCTTTCTGACAAACCCAGAGTAGGTACAGGAAGTCTATAGAAGCTTGTTATGTCTTGAAGTCTTTATACTTGTACAGTAGTCGTGCTTCATCTGATATAAAACACAAGTGTTTTATATCTGATAAAGCACTCCTACCTGTGCTTTAAATAGTACTTAACATATCTCGTACTAAATAAATCTAATTTTTTCATCTACTCCTTCGATACCCAGGAAAGTACTTTAATCAATACAATGGGTACTCTTGGTCTTTATAGGTATGTTCTCTTGATCTACATTTAGTTGGCATGTGTGTTCCTTCAACTTTTTTCAGTGCTGTTGCATGTGTGGTTGATCTAGCCATTGCTATATAGTTGTATTCTGGGCACTTCGTTCTTCTACACATCTCCACCTGTTGCCCTATATTCTCTCTCTGCACTGCACTCTATTTATTTCCCATACTTATTCAATACTGATGTTCGGCAGCATTACTAAAGGCGGTTTTGCACTAGGCGAAATTTTTCGACCGAAACGAAATTTCTCTTTGTCTTTTTACAATTAGTTCCGCTCGAGAGCTCATGAAACAAAGAGAAATTTCGATTCGGTCGAAAAATTTCGCCTAGTGGAAAACCGCCTTAATTCAGGGTGCGATAATTAGCGTACTTGCGTACCAGAGGTACTCGAATATTATGGCCTGGTACTTCTTTTTTTTCAGCCACATACCATGTAGGTACGCGGAACTCCTGTTATATGCGTACTTACACATGACCTTTCCAAATCCAAGGTATTCGATACCATAATTTAGTTGGTATATCATGTGCCTGAGTTGTCTTGGCATGAAACACGATTGGAATGATGGGGCTAGGAAACGTTGTATATGCATTTGTGCTTCTTGTTCTAACTCGTAGTTTGAACATACTTTTCAGAAACCTGTACTTTATGAACATTATCTTAATGACTAAGTACACATTGAGTATTGAGTTTCTACTAGTGCAAGTACGCAGCAATAATCATTGGCGTACCAGTCGGGTATAAATAAAAATCTTGAATTATCGCACCCTGACTAATTAAAGAATCTCCATCCTGATTGACTGGGTTGCCTACAAATAATTCTTGACATCACACCTGCAGATACTTGCATTTCTACGTGTAAATATGACCTAAGATTTGCTTGTTTACACAAAGAAAAATAAAGCTATATTGTTGAGATGTTGTCCCCTAGCTGTACAGGTAATTGGAAGCAATGTTCAAAATCTTTTTTTTAACAAAAGTGAAGTAGAAACATCAAAGCTGGGTGGAATTTGGCATGCAGAGTGGAATTTTTCTTTCTCTTCTAATTAGTTCCACCTGAGAAATCACAAGACAAAGAAAAATTCTGCTCAAAAATTCTAAGTGGAAAACCGGCTTAAACATTAGCTATACAAACTAAAGAGATCGAGTATTAAGAGTTTTCAACAAATATCTTGAAGAGAAAAAGATAAGCAAACCTCAAGAGAAGAGGCCCATGCCTAAGTACTATTTTACTAAAATTTACAATTTTGTTTTTACTTGTATATCAAGAATTATCAAGGCTTCGGTTTCTGTTATCTGCTGCTTTAATACTATAAAATGTCAAAATGACATATGAAATTATAGCACTGCTATGTATAAAACATATAGCACTGCCAATTGCTATAAAATTAGATACTGCAGGTTCGCATAACTCGCAGATAACTGTGTTATGTGTGTCATGTGAAGGTTGCATGACTTCCATATTTAGCTGTAATTGAGCCACTGAGTACTGGTCAATGACGTCAATCAAAAGTTCTCATAAAAATGTGTTCTCATAAAAATGGGCATGGTACAGTAAAGCGCGAGGCCCCCATAACCATGTGGTTAATCCGGCCCTGTAGTCACTATGTAGTGACTACAGGGCCGGATTAACCACATAGTGACTACAGGGCCGGATTAACCACATGGTTATGGGGGCCTCGCGCTTTACTGTACCATGCCCATTTTTATGAGAACACACCCATTTTCTATTTGGGGCACACCCATTTTAGGTGCCTTGCAAATTTAGATGTTTCGCAAATTTAGGCACCTCACACATTTAGGGCCCCTAGGCTTGGCAGTTGGGCCCAGGAAAATATGCAATACCCGTATGCATGTAATCTCCAGTTGTGCTGATTATAGACACCAATGCTTGTGCTAATGTACATTTGATTTGTATGACATTTTGCTAGCTATTTTTAGCCAAGTTAATCGTTAACGTTTTGTTATGTTATACTGAAAATGTATTTGTAAAACCCAATTATATCCAACAAATCGTCGCAAATTAGCAAAATAGAAAGGTTTCATTGATGTTTGAAACCAGTTTTAACATAACGGAATATTATTCAGAAATCCTGGTGGAGATAGCTTGGCTGCAAAATTGCGGTGATTTGCGGATAAAATTGAAAACAATTATTTAACAATTTTGTGTGTCTTTGAATTCAAAGGTTTTCATAACGAGGGGGGGGGGGGCCTCGCGCTGAAAATCTGCCACGGGCCTCGTGTGATGTTAATAGAACCTGAGTGACTACAATGTATAATATTAAATTCTTACAGTAATACCACCCTCAACCTCATCCAAACTGGAACAAAAGAATGGCATTGGAACAAAAGAATCTCATCATTATTTGCCCTCCACCTATATATGACGTGTTCCACGTGGTTGATGGTTCGGCAATTGCTAGATAGTCAGATAGTATACTTCAAAATAAGATTTCCGTTTTTATTCTATTTTTAAAATAAGTTAGGGTTAGGTTAGGGTTAGTATTAGGGTTTAGTTTTGCGTTAGGATAGTTTTTTCTACGTTATAAAAACGGAAACCTTATTTTGAAGTATACTATCTAGCAATCACCTTGATGGTTCTACTGCATTTTACGGCATATTGCCCCTATTCAGGGGCCTATTACATGAACTAAATATAATAAACTTACCAGTTTGCAAATGTCGTTTTTGGTTTCCATTCGAGTATTAATAGACAAGTGATTTTGGGTACAGTATTTTGTTGGGTTTGGCCTCTATGGTTTCGTCAACCTCGGTTTCGCGCGCATAATGCAAATTGTACCGCTTGTGAGCCTGCGTCTATTCTGTGCCTGCGGATTAGAGAGTATCGTTATGGAAATACTTCGTGTACATAGCCTTAGTAAAACACAGTAAAATGTAGAATGGGCGACAGAAAACAAAATGAATGAAAATAATGATGAAGACGAATGTCCTGAGTTAGTTCCAATTAATTTATTTGGCAATGTTGAACAAGAAGTATCAGGGAAACCTGCTCAGCGAGTTCCCGTGACGATTGTAACTGGATTTTTAGGTACACCGTATTTTTTATAATATGTTTTATAAAATTTTAATATAAGGCCACTACAAGTTAATCTTTAGTTTCTGGTCCGCCGCCCGCGTCCTGTCTCCGTAAAGTATTATTTCAGGACTATTTTGTTATTTACAATTAATTTCTAGTTCTTGAAAATCTCTGCGAAGGATTTAACTTATAGAACGATAAATATTCAATTTACACTAAAAAGACCAAGCAAAATGTAGTATTGAATGGTAAAAACCGCTGCCTTATCGATATTTACGAGGTAAAAAAAACTAGAAATATTTATAGATCATTTTGATATGTAAAATCCTTTGTAATCTGTCATACATGTCGATTTATAAATAATATAAATGCAATTTATGTAAAATTTCATAACATTTTGATACAATTAGCATGAAAAGGGACAATTAAGAAAGACCACAAAAATGTGGGCAAAGCCACAATTGTAATATTTATGTCCTATAGTCCTAACCACCCGCCCGCCTGCGTCGTAAACGAAGGTAAGGCCGGACCAGAAACTAAAGATTAACTTGTAGTGGCCTAAAAGTGGATAACAGTAATTTTGAATTTAACAAATACGAATTCTGACGTTTATACTGCAGTCTACTTTGTAATAAAACGTACTGCCAGTTTATATTTAACAGCTAAGTCAGCCCAGTATGGTATGTAAATGCTGCGCCAGACATATCCAGCAATATCACTATTATATAATATGTATTTATGTTACAAGTATTTATATATGTAATCCCCGAGCCGGCGGCGCGAAGCGCCGTGCGAGGGTACTAATTCCCCCCGGCTATATACACCCGGGGAAACGAAAGCATTAGGGAAGTCTAAAGTTCATCAATGAGCGCGGGCGTCGGTCACCAACGATGGGTGGTCATCCTCACTGATCTCAAAAATATGGCGGACTGTCATGAATAACGGACACTGATTGGTCCAATTTAAAGTTTGCATTATAACGACTGCATGACGACAGCGAAATAGCAAACATTTCTTGATTTGATGAGTTGATGATTGATAAATTTGTCAAATTTCTTGCAAATATTCTTCATTTTTGCTCATATTTCTGCAAGATTTTGTAAATTTCAAGAAAGAAAGGGCCAAAGGATCAGCTAAAAGAAGGGAGCCGACGTTAACGAAGGTAAGTTTGTTTTAAATATTGATTTTATAATGGCTTTAAAACCCGACGGCTTTTGCGTATATCAAACAACTAAACAAGACATACAAGACAGCATATAATTTCAGTGTATCTTTAATATTGATTCCCTTTTTTATTATATTGAATTTTTTAAATAAAAAATAAAGCAAAGTTATTTGCAAGCGAGAATTTGAAATCATTTTATTGCAAACTCAAAGTTTATCGATAAAGCCATTTAATAGTTAAAGGCAGTTTAGTTTTATAAAGAACACTTTAAAACGTTTTGTGAATTGTTTGTGGTTGAATTTTACCTTAAATTGAAGCTTGTATTACGTATAATTACATACCTAACATATATATGTTGAGAAATTGATAATTTTGTAATTAAAAGTGATATTTTTAGGCGATTTTCATTTGTAAGAATATTCTTAAAAAATTATCGTGTTACCATAACAACTACTTTAGATACTTCATGTTCGGAAAATACAACGGTTTTGTCAGCAAGGCGAGGGTTTCTGCATGCATGTATTTTCTAGTATGTATTTGTAATCCAGAACTGCAAAGTTTGGAAATTGTGCACCGGAGATTTCGAAAATTTAATAGTAAATATATAGAAAGCATTAAAAATGCACATGGAAGATCTTCCGCGCGCGGTGCAGAAAAATGCAGTCTGGTTTGTATTATGTACAGTATTTATAATAGTATTTGGTAGGATAGGCACACACAAAAAAGTCTCATTCCATACAGGAAGTCAGCTGACATTTCTTGACAAATCAATTCAATGAGTGACCATCCAGACTGGAATAGGGTTGGGCAATATTTAAAAAATCATCTCACGATTATTGTCAAGGAAATTATCACGATATTCGATAATATCACGATAAATGCAATAAAAACAATGACCATTTTTTAAATTTTAATTAATATATCATTGCATAGTAAGCTTATATATAATCTTATTAAAAACAAGTAAAACAATAAATTAAAGTAATATGAAGGCTTTTTCTAGTCTAATATTTACTGTTCATAAACCAGAACTGTCTATGCAGTTTATGCAGTGTCTACTGTGTCTCTGCTGCAAACGCAAGCAAAGCCTGCAATTCCATTGTTCAGCAGATTAATACATAAAATTATATTAGCTTTTGTATCGTATTTAATTCAGGAAATAGTTTTAATTCTTTAAAAACTGTATTTTCTAGGGAATTGAAAGAATTTTTTAGGATTTTTATAACAGCTATATACACATGTGAAGCAATATCACGATTAGTCATCGAGCATGACGATAATTTCGATATATCATTGCTCAAGCTTTTACCTTCGATACGATAATCGTGATTGAAAATATTGCGATAAATCAAAATATGGAAATATCGCCCAACCCTAGACTGGAATGTAAAGTGTGTATGCCGGACTTGTCCGGTGCACAAACACAAACTTTGGCATACATAATGGCGTACATTTGTTTACATAGACTAGTAATTGTTCAAATTCAACAAATATGGACGAAACAGGTGTATCCTAAAAAGGTGTATTTGGAACTTTTGCATATTAATATTTCCAAAATTGGCGTATATTTACAGTCATGTACGTGCCTGAATCGATGTCCGGCATGCAAAAAGTTAACTTTCCAGACTGGGTGACCATCCTCCCTTCTGCAAACACCCCTTGGGATTTGCTCACTACGCTATTTGTACCTGGGCCAGATATTGTACTACTTAGGAAAGTCTCAAAGACCCTCAGGAATTTCCTCAAAGGTCTCTGCTTAGGAATGTTCGATATATCGAAAATATCGGTATTGAAACCAACATTGGTTTATTGGTATGAGTTTTTCAGTCATACCAACATACCAAAATTTCTGATATAACGAAATTTCCATTATACCAAAAAATTTTCGGTATATCATTAATATCAAATTTACACACTATGCATATGGAGAAATCTTTGTCAACAGCTTCGAAATTATCATAAATGGTGTTACTTTCCACTTTTTGAATTATTCAAAATCAAAATTTCCTTCAAATTTCCACCAACAGGGTTCGTACAGGTCCTGGAAAACCTGGAAAGTCATGGAATTTCAATATTCCAAAATCCAGGCCTGGAAATCCTGGAAAATCAATTTCGTCATGGAAGTCATGGAAAATTGAAATTTTACAAAACATTAACAAAGTATTTTACTTTAATATTTCAATTTACCAGTCATAACAATAATATGAATAGTTGTTATATGACGGATTTTTGCAAGAGCGAAGTGAATTTTGTTCTTTTATTATATCAGTTATCAAGTTTGTTCATTCACTGCAACCAGGTATATCAATCATGTTTCGCTCGCTACTCTGGTTTAAATAAATGATTACAAAGCCCAGTCGAATTGTAATCAAGACCCAACGTTTCGACACTCCAGTCTAGTGTCTTCATCAGGGGTGATCTAAAACTGCGATCGGCTTCTTAAATACCCAAGGGATGACGTCACCTGCCAAGAAGATGCATATATTCCTCTGGCAAGTAGGCACTGTCATCCCTATTCAAAGCATGATGACTCATATTTATATGCCACGCTTCTAGGCAAAGTCTTTGACCATAGCGATTGTTTGTGGTAATTACTTTAGAGTTTTCCCACGCAATCTCGTGTTTAGTATAACATACATATTCGGCTAAAGCTGATTTCCCCTTGTCTAAAGTTGAAACAGCCTTTTGATGTTCTTTTAGCTGTGTATCAAACTGGCGTTTAGACTGACCCAAATACTCTTTGTCGCAGTCACCGCATGGTATAGAATATATAGCATGAGTCTTCTGATTTTTTTCAACAGGATCTTTGGCTTTGCGAAAATATGGCCTAAAGTCAAATAGGGTTTTAAGGCAACCTTAATATTAAAATTACTTAAGATTCTCTTGATTGGTTCTGTGACACCTGTTCTGTGTCACCTTTGGTTCTGTGACCTCTGTTCCGGTGTCTCTATCGTTTTGGAAACGTTTCGTCGATGATATCATCTCTACGGTTTCTACAAATGAGATCGATATTCTGCTGCAACATTTAAATTCTATTGAGCCGTCTATCCAATTCACGGTAGAACGTGAGATAAATGGACATTTAGCTTTTTTAGATTTGAATGTGCACAGAACTGTCGAAGGGAAGTTAGAGACTGATGTTTATCGCAAACCCACACACACAGACAAATACTTGTCATACGACTCTCATCACCCAGTAAGCCATAAAAGATCCGTAGCAAAAACTTTGCTTCAAAGAGCTGAATCGTTGCCGTCAAACAGTGATTCTCAAGCTAATGAACGTGAATATGTTCCAAATGTTTTAGGGGAAAACAATTACCCAAAGCGTTTTCTTAATGATTGCCTGAGACCACCTGTTTGTAGGAACCAAAATAACTCCGAGGGTGATACCTCTGTTAAGGGTTTTGCAATAGTTCCATACATTCAAGGTGTCACAGAACCAATCAAGAGAATCTTAAGTAATTGTAATATTAAGGTTGCCTTAAAACCCTATTTGACCTTAGGCCATATTTTCGCAAAGCTAAAAGATCCTGTTGAAAAAAATCAGAAGACTCATGCTATATATTCTATACCATGCGGTGACTGCGATAAAGAGTATTTGGGTCAGTCTAAACGCCAGTTTGGTACACGGCTAAAAGAACATCAAAAGGCTGTTTCAACTTTAGACAAGGGAAAATCAGCTTTAGCCGAACATGTATGTTACACCAAACACGAGATTGCGTGGGAAAACTCTAAAGTAATTACCACAAACAATCGCTATGGTCAAAGACTTTACCTAGAAGCGTGGCATATAAATATGACTCATCATGCTTTGAATAGGGATGACGGCGCCTATTTGCCAGTAGAATATATGCATCTTCTTGGCAGGTGACGTCATCCCTTGGGTATTTAAGAAGCCACGATCGCAGTTTTAGATCACCCCTGATGAAGACACTAGACTGGAGTGTCGAAACGTTGGGTCTTGATTACAATTCGACTGGGCTTTGTAATCATTTATTTAAACCAGAGTAGCGAGCGAAACATGATATCAGTTATCGTTAAAATATTAACGAATTTCAGAAATTCCAGACTTCCAGGTCGTGGATTTTGAAAAAAGTGGTCATGGGAAGTCATGGAAAAGTCATGGAATTTTAAATGGGAGAAGGTGTACGAACCCTGCACTAAGGAATTTTCCTATCTATTTTAAAAGGCGAAAAACCGGTACACTGATCATATCGGTATATCGTTACAGGAAATTTCTCATTCTGAACATTCTTAACTCCCTCTCTCCTCCGCAGGCTTTTAGCCAGGGTCCTAAAAGAGGGCGTCCAATTTTGGTATAACAATACATCCACAGTAAAGAGGGGGGTTCGAGAAAACGTTCCTCTGGAAAACCTTTGAAGTTTATGTTACTTCATGTCAGTATCTGTTCCAAGCTCGTTCGAAATTTTTCAAACACACTTGGCGTGCCGCTATGCTTCTTTACTTAATTATGACATTTTCATTCAGCCAGGTACACCATCAAATTGATCAAAGCGTCAAATGTATAATTACACCAACACAGAAAAATCATTACTGATTATTAGATTACATTATTTGATATCGAAAGGAACTAGATTCTGTTCCGAAATATGACATACTCGAACCGATCTGACCGCGTAGCTCAGTTGGCAGAGCATTGGGCTGGTATTCCAGAGGTCGTAGGTTCGATTCCCACCGTGGTCAGGCATATTTTTCAAGCTTGCCCGGTGTGGATATACACTCAGATTAACATCACAAGCATCATATTCACCTGAGTACATTACACCAACACAGAGAATGTATAATAATAATGAGAGTTGAAGCTATTTCGTTTCAGATATATTAATATACTTACGGAAATAATTGAAAATAATTTCCCTTTTCCCAAAGAATTTGGGCGTCCAAAGGCGTCCATTTTTTTGTTCTAGGGGCGTCCCAGGACGCCTGGACGCCCTTCTGGCTAGAAGCCATGCTCCTCCGCAGAGGCTTTAGTTGGCTATGATTACGATTAGTTTTGAGATACATTTCACTATACTTTACATGGCGGATCTTGGAACCATGTAAAGTGTAGTGAAATCTATCTCAATACTAATCGTAATCATAGCCAACTAAAGCCTCTGCGGAGGTGAGAGCTAATTAACTCCGCTATGGGTTTTTCCACAAGTTTATATTGTGTTAAGCCTGGTTTCCATTTGGTTGCTAGCTGTCACTACCAATGTCTTGAAACATTGTTTAAAAGCTTTTTCGAAAACAATTTAATATTAAATACCGACAACCTTGTTTTCCATTTGGTCATTGCCACTTCACTGGCAGTCTTCCTTATAACATTCAAGACTAAGAAGACTTTCATAGTGAAAACCAGTGAAAGCTTGTGACCAAATATAAACCTAGTCACATACGCCCCTGCAGCTAGGGGTTTGCACTAGCTAGCTAACTTTGCAAAAAATGCAAATGCCCGGGTGTTTCTCGGCTAGTCAGTTTCATTTACTGTAATATTTGATGACTACATATTGTACTGTATCTTCTAACAAAACAAGAGTCTGTAAGTTCGGGAAATAAAGATGGACATAATAATTATGTACAGTACGGTACAGGAAAGAAGTTGAAACTTATTTGATGGTTTTTTCAATGTTAAAGATTTCCTTAGTATGCACCGGAACCAATTTTTTAAGTTCCGGCCGGAACAGGAACTGATTTATTAACTAGTCATATGTATGTAGTCATATGTTACATTGTCTGCTGCCAGACAGGCAGACACTCCAAGTCATCAAGGAGAGAGCTCGCAAACATTAGAATAAAAAGATTGACAAACATTAAACGTCATGATGAAGTGTTAATAGTGTACATTTTCCTTGTGTAGTCCAAATTTCTTCCTACTGTGAACTTTTGTTTAACTCAAAAACGTTTGTCACTGAAAACGACAGAGTTCCGCTTCTGGCCATGCTTTTTTTATTAGTTGAGTTCCGGCAGGAACAGGAACTCTGAAAAATTGGGGTTCCGGCCAGAACTAACCGGCCAGAACCGAGTAATTCCAGTGCACCCCTATTCTTTAGACTTAAACTGTTTATTTTTTTTCATTACTAACAAACCCAGGTGCAGGAAAGACAACATTGTTGAACTATATTCTTACAGAAAAACACAATAAAAGAATTGCTGTTATTTTAAATGAATTTGGTGAAGGTAAGTTAAGGTATAGGGGAGCAATGAATCGCACTGCTTGGGTTTATTAGGCCCGGTTTAGACGCCGTGCTTTTCATGAGCTGAACTTAATTCATATTTTACTCGAGTAAAATAGGCGTACTTCCAATTTTGATTTAGACAGGCGTGCTTTTCATGAGCCGTACTTAATAATTTGCGCTGCTTCACTTCGAAACCTGGGGCGAGTGACATTTCATAATAAGAAAAAAGGGTTTATCACATACAATCTTGGCATTTCTGAGCGTCTACAGGTTTGCGGTTATTAAAAATTTCAATTGCTTTTTGAAAAGCCTTATTACTACAAACATAGCATAATGCCTGGATATAATGTGTGGGAAAACGAGACCTATAGGCTTAGGGCGAGTTTTTCCACGTTATTCGAGTTCTCCAAAACTACTACAAGTGTTTCTATAACTGTATGGGTCATACATAATAAACGTTTTATATTTATTTCATAATATAACTAAAAAAAGTTTTGTAGTAGACTCGATATATTTACAAATTCTCATTGCGTAATAATCAGAAAATCGGAAGGTGGGCAACAGAAGCGACAGAACTTCTAGCAGCTAGCGCCATGAGCAGTCCTTGTAATTTTCGACAGCAAACGGCAATTGCCACCGAAAATAAAATAGCGACAGCAACTTTAGGCACTACCTTCTTAATTTGATTTGTTCTTCTAAAAACATTGCTGATATGTCTATGAACAGCTGGGTATTTTAAACCAAACTAGAAAATACATGCATGCAGAAACCCTCGCCTTACTGACAAGACCATTGTATTTTCCGAACATGAAGTATCTAAAGTAGTTGTCATGGTAACACGATAATTTTTTAAGAATATTCTTACAAGTGAAAAATCGCCTAAAAATATCACTTTTAATTACAAAATTATCAATTTCCCAACATATATATGTTAGGTATGCTATTATACGTAATATAAGCTTCAATTTAAGATAAAATTTAACCGCAAACACTTCGCAAAACGTTTTAAAATGTTCTTTATAAAACTAAACTGCCTCTGTTAAGTTTAATTAAATGGCTTTATCGATAAACTTTGAGTTTGCAATAAAATGATTTCAAATTCTCGCATGTAAATAACTTTGCTTTCTTTTTTATTTAAAAAATTCAATATAATAAAAAAGGGAATCAATATTAAAGATACACTGAAATAGTGAAATTATATGCTGTCTTGTTCAGGGTTGGCATTTGTTCTTTTACTATTTGTTCTTTTATGTTCTTTTATAATAAAAGAACATATTTTTTTCGCGAAATTTGTTCTTTTATTTTCTTTTATTATTTTTAATTTTTTATGTTCTATTAGTTTGAAAATCAAGAATTTTCAAAATTCTTAAATTGTCACTTAACAATTTTATAATATAAACAAAATAACCAAATACAATAAAAAACAATTTCATTACCAGTCGAGACTCCAGAATCAAGAATGCGCATGAGCAGGAATTAATATGACATAAAATCTGGATTGTTACAAACACTCCTTCTTCGTCATCGTATCTTCTTTGACATCATCGTATTTTTTATTATTACGTCATCATATTTTTATCATGACGTCATCGTATTTTTCTTAAAGCCGAAAATGTTCTTTTATTATTAAGAACAAAGAACATTTTTTTCCTGAAAAAATGTTCTTTTATCCAACCCTGGTCTTGTTTAGTTGTTTCATATACGCAAAGAAAGGCCGTCGGGTTTTAATGCATGAGTCAATTCCAGGAGTAACCATCCCCCTCCCCCGGGAACACACCCGGGCATTTGATTTGATTGGTTATGATAGTGTAAATGCCCGGGTGCCGGGACACAACTTGAAGACTAATGCACGGCCCCTGGGCAAGCTGAGAGTGGAAAATGCCCCACCCCGGGGACGATTTTACAGTCGATTTCACGAAACTTTGACCACAAATGTTCCGAACTTCGTTGCGAAGTTCGCAAGTTCGTTGCGAAGTTTGGAAGCTCATATTGGAATTCACAAGCCAATTTGTAAACAAAGTCCCTGATTGGTCCGTGAAGTAAAAGAAGCCAATCAAATGCGTAGTTTACGAACTGATTTGTGAATCTCATTATGAACTTTTGAACTTCGCAACAATCTTGTGAACTTCGCAAAGAAGTTCGGAAAATTTGTGGTCAAAGTTTCGTGAAATCGACTGTAAAAGTTAATTAAACTTTTAATGGCATATAATCATAGTCATTTAATAACATTATAGTATTAAACTGCAATGGAATATTATAAAACATAAACCTTTAATAGTTGTATTTAAATTTGCATGGCACAGGGTATAATTTTCGCTTATTCTTACAATAAATTTCACGCCACCTTGACCACGAGGGCGCAAAATACGATCAGCGCGCCCACATGCTTGCCTGAAACTATGTTTTGCTGCCTTAAAATTTGTGGGTGGGATTCTGGGCAACCATTTGTCAAATCCCCGGGGTCCTCCAATACCCGGCCCCCGTGCACATATATGAAAGGCAAATTCCCGACCCCCGTGAACTGTCTATCGGGCAAATTCCCGGGGGTGTCCGGGGGGGGATGGTTACTCCAGGAATTGACTCATGCATAAAGCTATTATAAAATCAATATTTAAAACAAAGTTACCTTCGTTAACGTCGGCTCCCTTCTTTTAGCCGATTCTTTCGCCCTTCTTTCTGAGAAGGCTTTGACTGAAATTCACAAAATCTTGCAAAAAATGCGAGCAAAAATGAAATATATTTTGCAAGAAATTTATCAATCATCAAATCAGAAAATGAAGAAATGTTTGCTATTTCACTGTGGTCATGCAGTCGTCATGATGCAAACTTTAAATTGGACCAATCAGTGTCCGCTATTCATGACAGTCCGCAATATTTTTGAGATCAGTGAGGATGACCACCCACGGTTGGTCACCCACGCCCGCGATATTTGATGAACTTTAGACTCCGCTAATGCTTTCGTTTCCCCGGGTGTAAATAGCCGGGGGGAATTAGTACCCTCGCACGGCGCTTCGCGCCGTCGGCTCGGGGAAAAGAAAATTTATTTCTGAGTTATTTTTTCCTTATTTTCAGTCTGCAGAGTTTAGTTGCATTTTACAATTCATTCATTACCCTGCCAGTACACAACGTTGCTCAACTTGCTCTCAGCGTTACAAAGTAACAATTTTAGAACAACGTCGTGTATAGCAAAGTAAGAACAGCGACAGTACAGTGTGCACAAGTGTTAAGCCCGTTCTCCACTAGGCGAATTTTTTCGCGCGACGCGAAGCGAAAAACAAATCTTGGCAATGTGATTGGTTAGCGAAAAAATTCGCCGCGAAAAAGTTGGATTAGTTCCTACTTTTTTACTGTTCGCGCGAACAAATTCGCCTAGTGGAGAACGGGCTTTAATATATCTTCTATTTTAAGGTATTGACTCAGAGACAAAAAATCGTCATTAAAAGACAAAAAATTGCTGCCGAACTGCCGCCAAACTCTAAAATAGAGACAGGGCGCAGTAAAACACGTGTTAAGGGCAGTGTTTTACTGCGTCCTGGCTGAGCCAAGTCGTGCACGTGTGATCACACGCCATTCCCCAGGATGGCCTATTTAATGAGACCTTATTCCCAAATTAAGATAAAAACTTATGGTAGATAAAATAAAAAAGTGACCTGGATTTTCGTTTGAATTTAAAAACATGTCAGTTAACACTGCATTAACAAATTATCTGCCTTTAATACATGACAATATACTGTATGTCCATTATTTAAGGGTCAGCATTAGAAAAGTCGATGGCAATTGGTCAAGGTGGTAATCTTTATGAAGAATGGCTAGAACTGAGAAATGGATGTCTCTGTTGTTCTGTTAAGTAAGAAACCTTTAGTTGTATTGAAGCTCAAAGCATAGCACTTGGATATTGACATCAGTATGAGTTTAATTATGTTAAAGAGGTTAACCAACCATATGCGCGACAACTGAACTAAAACAAACTTGTTGAAATATGCAGTTGGAATTAGTTTATCCACGATAAATTGTACTGAGTAGTATACTGTAGCTTAAAGAACTGAGCAGACCAACCTTGCAGTTGTACACATGCGTCAGCCAGAAGGGGTCCTGATTTCACATAATTTATTTAATTTTTGGTTAATATTTTGAACTTCATTGTGTTGGTGGCCACAATGAATCATATTTTTAGGATGCTGCCCGTGCCATTAATCTGACCGTATTACGTCTATTTATTTGAAAAAGTCTTATTGAAAGAAGATGCTATAATTATGGAACTACTATACCCTTCATCTACTTATACTGTACCTACCCACCTCCATACTTCCCTAATTATAAAATTACCTATCCACATGCAGTGCCAACTACCAAGTGTTTTCTTGCCAAAACAGTATATAAACATATACTTCCATACCTACCTTCTAGTCTATATACTCTAGTTACTTAGTAAAACTCATACTATATATACTTTCATCTCTGAGTGCGATTGCAGCGTTTTTAGGCACTGTATACAAGTTTTTTTACATAGTAGTATTTTCCCAAACTTGCTTGAGAAGCGGGTAATAAATATCTCAAAACTATATTTAACTCACAACGGTATATATGTTTGGTGATGTTCATCCAGACAGTATTTCTACTATTTCACTCATATACGTGTACTACATCACACCAAATTAAATTGTCCTGACTCCTAAGGCTGAGCCGTGTCCGCTGATGCATCCGTAATGCGTGTCGGGTGAACGTTTTACGATGGATTTCTGTCAATTATTAACTGAGACACCATAAGTTTGAAACTAGTTTTAGTTAAAACGTATTTGAACGTTGATTTTCAATTCAGTTGTCCGACGTCTGTACGCCTATATTAATTCCAATTTTAATTCCTATCAATCAATTCCAATAGAGACATAGGAGTGAAAGCGATTGAAAATCTAATGAAGAAAAAAGGGAAGTTTGATTATGTTTTACTTGAAACAACTGGTTTGGCAGATCCAGGACCCATTGCA